ATATATATATATATATATATATATATATATATATATATATATATATATATATATATATAATATATGTGATTGTTTGTTATGAAAATGGAAATAAAAATATGTTTTTTAAAAAAGAGTCATGTTCAAAGAATTGTGTTAATTTGTTAGAATGTGGGATTTGGGATGTAGAAATCCAGAATCACATAGATTATTACAGTTTCAAACTGAACAAGAGGGAAATGCCTTATTGAAATTACAGAAAGAGTTATTTTGATTGTTGGAAATATGGGTTTTTTTTCTCCATTCTCCATTCTCTCTGGTTCCAATTGTTAATTGGAATTATTCTTTATTCACAATACTGAATTCCAATAAAGTGTTTATGAGAGGATTGCATCCTCAGGATCAGAATTTTTTTCTCCAACATGCTAAAAGACTTTTAAAGAAATTCTAATAAAACCAGTTTTATTTCTTTTGCTTTATGTTGTTATAAGATATATGTAATATATTATTTCAATACAGTAGTGTTTATAGTGTTGACTAGAGATTATTAATGTTTTAATGTTTAGATAATTAGACAATTAAACAGTAGGGAAAGAGAAGGTATTATACAGTGTTGGCTGTGATTTATAAAATTAATGTTAATAAGGATAAGATTATTTAGCTTTTATATCCAAAGCTGAATATTGAATAACATTATAACTCTAAGGACAAACTGCAAATTACATCAAAATATTTGTTGTACAATACAGGTTTTTGTCTTAAGCAGGTTATTTAATTCAAAAGTCTCCATGATATTGTTGCTTATTATTATTTTTGCATGTTGAGAGGAAAAAAAGAAAATAAATGAAGCAAAATAGGTATCAGCAACTTAAAAGAAACAAGGGAGAGGGGGCTATTTGGTTTCTAGTTTTCCCCTTTTTGTGCTTCTGGGTCAACAATTGTGGGTAAACAGGAATGAAAGGAGGCTGGGAGAAGGGGAGTACAGCTCAGTACAAGCATAGACAAGCTGGGAGAACTTAGCAGAGTGACCTGGGACCTTTCCTGATGGCTTCCCTACTATCTTTGGTTATGGGAAATTATCAGGGAAGGTTGCGAATGGCAATCATGTAATCATGATGTCGGAAGAAATGTCCATTTAGATTCAGTTCTAAGTGGGGAGAAAGACACTGGAAACATGGAGGCTGGTTGGAAAGATGGTTTAATGGTGGACAGGGCCACATGGTTTGACATCCTGGGCAATTGAGCACATGGGTGAGAGAGAGAGAGATTTATACCCTCTTTTGGGCTTTAAACTTGCTTCCTCTTCCTGTAAAAGAAAGGTATTCTGATTGGTTGTCTGACTCCCATGGGGCCATACAGGGGTAACTTTGTAGGCTGTCTTGAGTCCCAGGCCTGGTTGAATTTTGCTGGGTGATGTAATGAAGAGGTTTTGGGTAATTCCTATTATGGCTTAATGGCTTTGCCCTGGTTTGGATCTTGACTGAGGGCTAATCCTATCATCCTGGAGCTGAAGGTCTTTTGTGTTGTAGATAAGATGGCACCAAAATATCTGCTGGGGCTGCTAGGTTTTTGTGTCCCTTAAGATTTCTATTTCTCTTTTAGGGAAAATATTCTGCCTTTTTAATATTTCCTAGAATATTTCATTCTTCTAGGAGAGGGGTGGAAACTAACTTTCTACAATGGGGTGCTGCAATCATCATAGTGAGCAGGCTGCCAAACTCCTGAATCACAATCAATTGACCTCAGAGTACTGCAATTGCTGATAAATTGAGGAATGGGTGGAATTACCAAACATTCAGCACTGTCACAATGTTGAATCACTGAACAAGTGAAGGCTAAGTATGGGCTTCCTGTATATTTAGTAAGAAAAAATGTGGCCTTTCATTTCAAATTTAATTTGTAGAATGTTCTTCATTGCCCTAAATATAACTCTCCAGTACTT